AGTTGGACATAAAAGGACAGATAGGTTCTGATAAAATAATAGTGGATGACTTCCACTAAATGCCCTAAAAACCCATAAACATCAGTGTTCTCCACCATAGATCAAGCAGACTTAATAAGCATTTACAAAATCCTAACACTGGCAGACTATACATTCTCAACAGCCCATGGAAATGTCTCTAAAATGTATCACATTTTAAAATATAAAGCCAATACTAGCAAAAAAAAAAAAAAGAATAATTTCTTGCATCTTACTAGAACATAGAGGAATTGAAGTAGAAATCAACAGCAAGACGAAATACAGAAAATATGCAAACACATGGAGATTTAACAAATCACTTTTGAACTGAAATTGGGAAAGTTAAAAAAATTAATATTTTATTATTTTTATTTCACGTGTATGTATGAGTGTATTGTCTGTATGCATGTAGGTGCACCCATGTCATGCAATGCCTTGGAGGTCAGAAGAAGAGGCCATCAGATCTGGAACTGGAGTTATGGGTGACTGTTAGCCACCATTTGGGTGCTGGGAATTGAATCCGGGTCCTCTTCAAGCACAGGCAGTGCTCTTAATCTCTGAGCCATCTCTTCAGCTCCAGAGGAAATTTTTTTATTTTTTTGGTCTTTGTGAGGCAGGGTCTCCCTGTAGCCCCAGCTGTCCTGGAACTCACTATGTAGACCAGGCTGGCCTTGAACTCACAGAGATCCACCTGCCTCTGCCTCCCAAGTGCTGGCATTAAAGGCCTGTGCCACCAAGCTAAGCCTAAGGAGGAAATTTTTTTTTAATAGCTACAATTAAATTACCATGAAAGTACAACTTATCAGGATATGTAGGAGACAGCAAAGGCAGTTCTAAGAATGCTTATAGCTACGAGTACTTATATTAAACTGTCCGAGAAGTGCTGGGAATATGGCTCAGCAGGTAAAGTGCTTGACCAGTTGGGATTCCTAGCACCCACCTAAAAGCCAGGCAGGCATGGTGGCTACCTGTAATCTCAATGCTCAG